TTAAAATCTAACACCCCTCGTCAAGCCTAATATTCATCCCTCCCTCCCCCCCACCAGCTTCCCAGAACCCAGACATGCCTCCGAGCCTTTGAAGACCTCCACGAAAAATCTTTGATCCTAGTTAGCTCTTGCTGAATTCTTCAGAGACTTTATTAGAACATTTTATATTTCACACAGTATTTACAGCAACTGTATTTAAAGTTAGGATGTTATCAATTGCAGTTTAGTCCTACGGTTATGATGTTAATTGGGACTGCAACTGCTATTGCTAAGTGACATGATTGTAAAGTATGACATAGCACAACCACTTTGCGAATTGATGAAGCAAGGAACATGTGGGTTGTTAAGAGACACAACGTGACCTCTTGCCAACCTATCCATTGACTTTGCTGGTGGGAAGATTGGAGGGAATGTCAGAAATCACAATCCTGTGATTCAGTAGCCATTAGGATTTACAAAAGTAAATCCTTGATTGCGTGTATACTGCCGGTAACGCGGGGGTTAGAATGTAGTATTGCAGGCTAATTCTGCCCACAGCTGGAGTTCAATTCAGCAAACATAAAACTACTATTATGTATGAAACAATATTTGAAGATGTGAAGCATCCTTCATAGAATATCTGGCGCTCAAGTAATAACCATAATCCAGAATTAAGAAGCCAACAGGTGTAATGCCATTCATAAATTGCACCTTTAAATTCTCTAATCTCTTCATCTAAATTTGCCTGCTTGGTTGTTAACTAAATCATCTTCTTACCTAATGAGTTTTTCTTGACTTTTTTCTTTTTGGGCCGACTAAGAGGAATTTCATCTGCAAAACCAAAAGCCAAGAATTAGTTGATCCCATAATAGTAAACATACATTCTTATTATATGTCTAAATGCTTTAAGTATATTATTCAAGCTGTTTCGTGTACATTATCTAGTTGAGTATTTACAACAGTCCAATCACCTTAATCAATTAATACATTTAAAAAAATGGGGAAAATGAATAGTACTCACCTTGTTCTCCACTTTCGATTAATATTTTCCAAATTAAAGGTATGTGAAATTGGAAACATAAAAATAAAATGTTAATATTGAAATATACAATCCAATGCATAATACTAAATTTGGAAAACATAATAAAATTCACCCACGTAATAGTAGTAGGTGCAAAAAAAAAAAGGTTAAGGAATAATAGCTTCCTTGAAATTTCTAAATTGCCCATTGTATTTTTGCAGAAAATTGTATTTTTACCTTGGTACTGGAGGAAGAATCCGAGGTGGACGCTGCAATACATAAAAATATAGAACTCAATATTTTTTTAAAAACAAACAAACTTATTTTCGAGTGCAAGCAGATGTAGATAGCCTGTAAGCCTTGTTTAAAGTGAGTCACTAAACATTTATTTGAATAGATGTATAGATTTTAAATGTATTACTGGAAGAATATCACAATGATTCCTTTTAACTTTCTGCTTCTAAACTACTATCCTAGCAAAGTATATAAGATAATGCATAATAACCAAAACCAGCAAGTTATTTGTTTTTTTAAACCGCATACATGAATTTTAGAGCAGTAGCACTATTCATAACTAACCAAGTCTTTTAGAAAACCCTACCTAATCACAATACTTTTCTTTGCTCAACTGAAATAAGCAATGCAACTGAATCAATGGGCAACCAGATATCGCACAAGAGGTACACATTTTAAAAAGCAGTCAAAAATCCATCCCTTTTATCGTTAAACGAACCGTGTCCTCCACCCATGAAAACAATGAGAGAATTCTCAAATCAAATCTTTGTGTAAATGAAATCAAAAGATGAAGGAGCCGAAAATGAAGCTCGAGATTCGGGCATAGTTTTTATCTTAATTTATTTTTTTTTTTAAAAAAAAACAATACAAATATCTGACAGTTCAAAAGAGGACTCACCACTTGCTTCTTCCCCATATCCCTTAGTGAGGTTACATATGAACTAAGGCAACAAGGACATATACCTACAATGACTCCTGTTAATTCTGTACTGTACTAAAAATAAACTCTCAGTACCCAGGATTAGCTGGAAATGAACTTTTGCCCCATCTAGTTTAAGGGCTGGAGGGTGCATTCATGAAAAGCCATTATTTTATTATGGATTGCCCTAGAGAAGTTTTTCTCGATGGCACCTGCTACACAAACCTATCATGCAAGGGTGGGTTTCAACCGGTTCGCGGCGGTCCCCGCGAATCGGTTGGTCGGCGAACCCGGAAGTAAGTAACTTCCGGGAACGGCGACGGGCCCGCCCGCCCGCGCTCCTTACCGGTCTTTGAAGGTTTCTGTGCTTCCACGCAGGCGCATGGCACATACAGCGCCTGCGCGANAACCATACCCATAGCAAGCCAAACTGTGGCATCCCCTTAATGACCAACCGCTGAAAAAAGATCATAACATCAGATCAACTATGAGACTGATCTGCTTTACGACTGTTATGACTTACAAATATGATAGGCAGGCTGTCAAGATCCAAAGCATGCTTTTGCTCTTGCAACCATGATGGCGTCTCAGCTTGCTGAAGAAACAGCGGGGAGGGGAGGTTAGGGAATGTAGGCTCCAGACATCAAGAAGATGAGCATGAGAGCCAAGGACCCTTTGGCAGGCGTTTGCCAGAGTCACAGACTTTTCCTCATAACAATACGATGGGACTCAATTGGACCATGACCTGATCTAATAGGGGGAGGGGGAACCCTTGGATTATGTGGGTTTGCACGGGACTTAGCTAAATCTCTCTTTGTCCTCAATCGGTGGCAAAATGATGGACTCAATAAAGCTTTACATTAAAAGATCGGATCGTCTCCACTGTGCTTGCTTTGATCGGGTTCGTCAGTCGGAACGTTGACATAGGCTCCATTATGGTCCTAAGTCAAGGACACCTGTATGGACACCTCTGGAGATCCTTCAGTGTGAGACATAGTTGTGCAACTCTTGGAAACGAACCATGGCAAAAGCAGTTGTGTGTTTTGAATTTCCCGTGCAAAGTAAATGTTTACTTTCTCTAAAAATGATTATTTCTATAGAGGGAAGTAGATATTTTCTCAACAGCTCCTCAGTGGAAAACATGAATTGGGTGAGCAGATGCAACAAATCTCTTTAATCAATCAAACAAACAACCAGACCATCAATCAAATTGCAAAGACATGTCAATGTTGGCTGGCAACCCTCCGGGGGAGAGCCTTCTCTGTGGCTGCTCCGGCCCTCTGGAACGATCTTCTCCCCGCTGAGATCCGGACCCTCACTACCCTTCCGGCCTTCCGCAAAGCAACGAAGACCTGGCTGTTCCGGCAGGCCTGGGGCTGTTGAATTGTCCAGCCCCACCCGAGGTTGTGAATGTTTGTATCCCCCTTCCCTTTTTTATTGTAAGCCGCCCGGAGTCTTCCGAGAGTGGGCGGCATACAAAACCAATACATAATAAAGTAATAATAATAATACATCTTGGAGGAAGTCTCAAAGCAGGAGGATGGGTCCTTACCTTTGATACCTCTGCATATAGATATATAAATTACCTGATAGGAATTTGTATCGCTGTTTCATCAGCTATTCCATCCTGATGTGACTTGTTGACTTATACAAAATAAATTGTTCAACTATATTGCTGTTCTTTGGCATCTTTAAGAGAAAAAGGGTGGAGTACTATGATGTGACCTGCAACGCTACTTGTACGTGATGCATTTCAAAACATGGTAAGTTGTGGTACTTTGAACTTCATTTGTTTTATGGCTGAGTGTATTCTGAGCCCAGCAACATTTGAGTAATTTGTGATAAAATGCATTGCATGAACTTAGGGGGGAAAAAAGCCTTTCACTGCTCAGATTCAACATCTGGGCCGGAGTCCTAGGGCTGGAAGGGACCTAGGAGGTCTTCTAGTCCAACCATCCTTCCTGGTCCTCATCCCATCTCAGACAAATGGTTGCCTGATCTCTTCTTGAAGACCTCTACTGATGGAGCACACTCAACTCCCGGAGGCAAGCTCTCCCATTAGACAATCAGTTCCAGCTTGAATCTTCCTCTGAAGAGCTTCCATCAATTGATTCATGCCCTATTTTTGGGGTGCTTTGGAGAAGAAATAAAACCCTTCTTCTCTCTGCTTTTGCGTCTATGAAAGTGAGTCTTCAATAAAATGGAAAAGGAGGAATTAGCCCAAAAAATTAGGGGTGCTAAGCAGAATTATTTTGAAAATGCTAATAAACCAGGCAGATGGTTGGCAATGCAAATTGAGAAAAGAGAGACTCAAAGAAGATACTGCAGTTAACGGATGATCAAGGGCAAACCTGTTATGGGAATGAAGAGAAGAAAAAATTATACAAGATTACTACGGTAAACTATATGATCAAGAGAATATAGAAGAGGCAGGAGTGAAAATTAAAAAGGAAGAATACAAGCTATAAGCATTCGCAGATGGCTTGGTCTTCATTACCTAGAGGATTCATTAGAAACAGCACCTAAATTGATAGAAAGAATAGAAGAATATGGGAAAGTAGCAGCATTGAAAATAAATAAAGACAAAACGAAGATCTTGACAAAGAATATACCAACAAGACAAAAGGAGGAGTTGGTGAAAACTTTGGAAATGCAAGTTACAAATAAGGTTAAATATTTGGGGATATATTTAACAGCAAGATGCGGTGCTCTCAAAGACAACAACTATCATAAACAACAGATTGCGATGGACTTGAAGAAATGGGAAAATTTACAATTATCGATGATAGGGAGAATATCTACAATTAAAATGAACATTCTACC